CCCGCACCCTCAACATTACAGAAGATGGATTAACTTAGCTCCGCACAACATCAATGTGCACTACTTGGCTCCTTCCCCCCCCCCCCCCCCCTTAACCTGTATTTAAGCTCGAGGCTCTCAGAGCCTCCCCACTTGATGCAGCGATCTTGCTGTGACTGTTCCACCTGAAGACGGAAGCTTGTGTTACCTCCGAAACGTCGTGATTTAATTGTATTTTTTATTTAATTTTTTTTTACCTACGTGACTTTACCTAAAAAAACAAAGAGTATGAATCCTTGCAGTCACGAAAGCTTCAAATCTAGAAAACCCTTGATTGTGAAGGATTGGATCACACGTGTGGTGTTCACGTGTGCCTGCAATGCACTGGAGGTATTATTGGTGGAGATGCTATTCATGATTATGATGGTGTTGGTCGAGGTTGCGGTGCTATTGATGATGACATTTGTAGTGGTGGAAGCTGTGGGTGGAGATGGTGATAATGTAGGTTGTGGTGTTGTTGGTGGAGATGCTGTTGATGATGGTGATTAAGGATGTGGTAGGGTTGGTGGAGATTCTGGCATTATTGAAGGAGATGGTGATGATGGAGTTTGTGGTGGTGTTGTTGGTGGTGGAGGTGCTCTTAATGATGATCATGATGATGATGGAGATGGTGGTATGTATATACGGCATTCTCCAAATTACAAGACGCATGTGTCCCCTCATAATCTTAGGAATACATTGGCTTCCGAAAGATGTGTTTGAAACTAGTTATTCAGAATCATCTTCCAGCAGACGGTTCCTCCGGAGCAATACATGACCACCCAGAGGACAGAAGACACCACCAGATGTCCAAAATCATCTTCCTGCAGATGATTCCTCCGGAGTGATACACGGACCACCCAGAGGACAAAAGACACTACCAGACGTCCAAAATCATCTTCCAGAAAACGGTTCCTCAAAAGCGAAACATGACCACCCAGAACACAGAAGACGCCACCAGATGTTCGGAATATTCTTCTGGAAGACGGTTCCTATTTATATGTAGGGATACGCGTTTTCATAACCCCTGTAGCAAATACCTCCCTATTCTCCCCCCCCCCCCCCCCCATTATAAAACGCACAATTTTTATTAATATTTTCAATCGAAACTTATTGAGTGACGTCTTACTTTCCTGCGCGTCTTCATAATCTAAAGGATACGGTAACGCGTGGTTTATAATTAAATATGAATGGCAATGACTGACTGCGGGATAGCTTAAACATCGAAGGCGGTGGGTGGTATGGAGGGGGGGGGGATTGCCTGCAAAGGTTAATGACCCACATGCCATTAATAATTTAAAGCTACTTTGTCATTCCACTGCTGGATGAATTCCTTCCCCACACTACCGTGTCGATCACGTTGGTTGCTTGGAGGACGTTTGCCCGGTCTTATGTTGATGACATGTGGTTGGGCCAGAACCTGAGTGACGCTGGGCACTACGGTAACATTTTTTACATTTTATTTTATCAGGTAAGGTCCACTGAACGATATGGTGCAGGTCTTTTTCAGAAGTGACCTGGCCACAAATGATAGCTTAACGAAGGGCCGTCATCACGTGGAAATATATATTAGCCAAATATCCTAAGGGGCCGTCCATAAATGACGTCACGCACCGGGGGGGGTCAGACATTTGTGACGATGTGAGAAATGTGACGTCACATCAAAATACGCAACATTAAATAAATATAGACAACACGTTCTACTTAATTAAATAGACTTTTTAATAAATGTTTTCTCCTACAACATCAGAGTGCAGCGGCACATTAAATACGCACTACATGTGTGACGAGGGGGGGAGGGGGGGTCAAAAATCGTCCAAAATCGCGTGACGTCATTTATAGACGGCCCCTTATCCATTTAGGGTGCCGCCGCGGTGGCGAGATGTCTAATACATGGCCACCACAACGATCGCGCGCGCTTGTTTACGCGAGGAAGCCGCCTCCCTTGAGTCTCGGGACTCGTTTTCAAGTAAGGTGGTGCTCGTCGAGTCCTCGCAACAGCTGTCCGCGTGGGCACGCGGCGCCCTGGCCATTAGGGCAGTCCTCGACTCACGAATGCGATTCGTTCCCGAGGCCCGTTCGTAAGTCGAACGGTTCGCAGGAGAACACGGGGGCACCTGGGTTGGCTGACCGAGATGACTGGCAAATGCACCTGCTGTACCCTATACTGCAAAGACGAAGGTGATACCAGCACTGCCTGGTATCAATACCCGCATTGACCACTAAGCGACGGGGCCGTAACCACCATACCTGTGCCAGGCCAGGTGGACTTTGATGCCACGTGAAGTGTCGAAGGCTCGCGAACAGGAGGTCTCGGGACAGACAAAGGTGCCATGGGTTGGCTGACTGATATAACTGCATCTACCAGTCATCCCAATCAGCGTTGCTCTTCTGCCCTCCATTGTTGCTGGAGGGCGACTGCCCAGTAGCGTCCAGTTAAACGCCCCCATACACACAAACACGCACTCCCAGCACGAGGCCGACTCATTTACACCTCGCGGAGGATCGCTAAGCCAAAGAAAATAGTCCCATCGTTCAATATGCATTGTGAAAGTTCGCGTTTTAAGTCAATGTTAAAAAATATAACAAATCTTTCATGGAAGCTGGTTCGAAAGTGCGGGTGTTTGTAAGTGGGGCGTTCGTAAGTCGAGTGTTCTTAAATGTGGGTGTTCGTAAGTGCGGGTGTTCGTAAGTCGGATGTTCATAAGTCGGATGTTTGTAAGTCGGATGTTTGTAAGTCGGGTGTTTGTAAGTCGGGTGTTCGTAAGTCGGATGTTCATAAGTCGGATGTTTGTAAGTCGGATGTTCGTAAGTCGGGTGTTTGTAAGTCGGGTGTTCGTAAGTCGGATGTTCATAAGTCGGGTGTTCGTAAGTGTGGGTATTCGTAAATACGGGTGTTCGTAAGTCGGATGTTCATAAGTCGGGTGTTTGTAAGTCGGGTGTTCGTAAGTCGAGGGCTGCCTGTATTAGTCTGCCGCCAAGCAGGAAGCGATGATTTCTGCCACGTGTACTCATTTCAATATGACTGCATGCAGTATTTGTGTGGTATGGTATAAACTAGTGGTTCTAAACCCTGGGGGTGTACGCGGACCAATGGGGGGGAGGGGGGGGGGGGTTACGTGCCAATGTCCCAGAGACTACGCGAGGTGGATTTATAAACGTGTGAAAATTCCATCATATACGTGAGAATAATGTTGTGCAAATATAAAATAACTGTGATAAAAACATAAATCCATATAATAATTACATTTATATAGCGGCTTTTCATCAAGGATCTCAAAGCGCTGTACAGGACACATTTTAAAAATAATTTACTAAATTAACAAAAAATGTAATATGGTAACCTAGAACGATATAAAATACCTTCCTAAACTCGTTGATCGTAAACAATGTGGGGTTCCCAAGAGTTAAGCGGCTGACAAATGACGTCACGCGCGCATGAGGGCCCGTTGAATTTTTTTGCAGATACTCGCTAGTTAGGAAACTTCACAAAACGGACGATTGGTTTGCAATGTTGACGTCCATTAATTCGCGCATTTATTTCGCAGAACCGTGTTGGGTCAGTGCAAGGGAGTTTGGTTACTCGGTTGAAACAAAATCCAACAAGTGGGTAACAGTGGCCAGAAAAGGGTTAAGGGGCCGTCCATAAATTACGTCACGCACGTTGGGGGTGGGGTCAGACATTTGTGACGATGTGTGACGATAGGGGGGGGGGGGGTGAGAAATGTGACGTCACATAAAAATGCGCAACTTTAAATAAATACGTTCTACTTAATTAAATAGACTTTTTTTTAAAATAAATGTTTTCTCCTACATCAGAGTGCAGCGCCACATTAAATACGCACTACAATTACAATAGTTTAAAGCGATTTGAAGCATCTTTTATTTTGGGGGGGGGGGGGTGGGCAGAGCTTTGTGACGTCATATTTGAGGGGGGGGGGGTCTGACTTTTTTTTGACGCCGTGTGACGAAGGGGGGGGGGGTCAAAAATCGTCAAAAATCGCGTGACGTCACTTATGGACGGCCCCTAAGAGAACCAACCACTGGCGTATACCGTGCGCGGGAAGCGCACGGCGAGTCCTCGTTTAACGCCGCTAGCGCGTTCCTGAGAGGCGTCGTGTTAAGCGAAAAACGAAAGTTCAGCGAAAAACAATTGCCCCGCAAATAATGCAACGACGACAACGTTTGGCGAGATGCGGTGTGTGGACCACGCGCGACGCGCCGCACTGAGATGGCGGGACAAATAACTCACTGTACTCCGACGCCGTTACCGTATCATTCCGCATTACCGCATCGCAGCCGCTCAGGCGCGCAGCTCAAAGAAAGCAGTTCGTCGTCTTGCGCTCCGCGTTATAACGGTGCAGCGTTCCGCATGATAACAGTGCGCGTTCCTTGTTGTAATGGTGCGCCTTGTGCGCTCCACGTGATGACGGTGCGCGTGTTTTCGTAATATAACGGTGCGGTGTTCTAACGGCAGAAGGGCGCTCACGCGTTGTGCCAAAAGCGTTCCCGGATGGAACAAGCGCGTTATGCAACGGCGAAAACGCGTTATCGCGCGAACACGCGTTAAACGAGGACTAGGCGCACTTGGCCAGCGTGTGGACACGTGCAGTGAAAGTGTACGCGGTCCCGTTACACTTGACACTTATGACGTCAACGCGAGCGAGGGGGTTGGTGGTGGTGGGGGGGTGTGAGAGGGGCGGGGCGGTGGGGGCTGTGGGGTTGAAGAGGCGGTGCTAACCGAGCCGCTTCACTCACCAACACCGGGGTCGTGTACGCGCGCGCGGCCGCTAAATAAACTCGCTCCCTTAACGCAAGACGCGCGCGCGAGTCAAATGCATTGGCCTTGGGACGGGGCGGGTTTAGAAGTTGTAAAATAAAGAATTCTTTCCCGATTTTATTGAATAATAAGAGGCATTAAAAGTAGTTCCATGTGGGGGGGGGGGGCTATGGGGGCGAGTCCTCCCGGCACACTCCGCGGCCATCTTTTTTCGCGCGCGGAGGGATCCTCGCGCGTCTCGCCGTCATCGGCGGCGGCGGCGGCATCGACATCGTCGTCATCCGCTATCGGTCGTGAATTAAAAATAACACGATTATTATCGTAATAATAAGAACAATTGCACGGATTTAACCGGCGTGATTGGTTTATTTCCAACAAGAAGAACCAACAACGACAACATTTGGAGTGTTAAAATATATTTTGGTGGAGGTTTTTTTTTTCCTCCCTCTCTTTTGCATCTGAGGCGAGAGGTGACAGCTGACGGATTACGGAGGTGGGGTGGGGGCAGATTTGCTGATTTCAGCTATCGGGACTGCTACATTTGAATGATTTTACATATTTCTTAAACAACACAACAAATCGCGAAGAGAATAACACAATTTCTGTTGCGGTACCCCGAAATAAAAATAAAAAAACACAAATTGAGTTGTCATTAGGAGCAGCGCTGTTGGTTTTGGTGAAGCGTTGGTGCGGTGTTAAGTTGGTTAAGCGAGAAAAGGGAATTGTGAAGGAGGATTTGGTTAGCGCGCGGGGTGGTGGAGGAGGAGGTGGAAGAAGAGGTGGAGGAGGAGGTGGACGATGGGGAACAGCGGAGCCACCACGACGAGGAAAGGCAACGAGGCGGAGAGCGGTGAGACACCGGGGTGGGGGACACGGGGAGACTTAAAGAGAGACACGGGGACACGCGGAGAGACACGGGGACACGCGGAGAGACACGGGGACACGGGGAGAGTGGGAGAGACACGGGGACACGGGGAGACTGGGAGAGACATGGGGACACGGGGAGACTGGGAGAGACACGCGGAGACTGGGAGAGACACGGGGAAACTGGGAGAGACACGGGGAGACTGGGAGACTGGGAGAGACACGGAGAGACTGGAGAGACACGGGGAGACTGGGAGAGACACGGGGAGACTGGGAGAGACACGGGGAGACTGGGAGAGACACGGGGAGACTGGGAGAGACACGGGGAGACTGGGAGAGACACGGGGAGACTGGGAGACACGGGGAGACTGGAGAGACACGGGGACACGGGGAGACTGGGAGAGACACGGGGACACGCGGAGAGACACGGGAAGACTGGGAGAGACACGGGGACACGGGGAGACTGGGAGAGACACGGGGACACGGGGAGACTGGGAGAGACACGCGGAGACTGGGAGAGACACGGGGAGACTGGGAGAGACACGGGGAGACTGGGAGAGACACGGGGAGACTGGAAAGAAACGGGGAGACTGGGAGAGACACGGGGAGACTGGGAGAGACACGGGGACACGGGGAGACTGGGAGAGACACGGGGAGACTGGGAGAGACACGGGGAGACTGGGAGAGACACGGGGAGGCTGGGAGAGACACGGGGACACGCGGAGAGACACGGGGACACGCGGAGACTGGGAGAGACACGGGGAGACCGGGAGAGACACGGGGAGACACGGAGACTGGGAGAGACACGGAGACTGGGAGAGACACGGGGAGACTGGGAGAGACACGGGGAGACTGGGAGAGACACGGGAACACGCGGAGACTGTGAGAGACACGGGGAGACTGGGAGAGACACGGGGAGACTGAGAGAGACACGGGGAGACTGGGAGAGACACGGGGACACGGGGAGACTGGGAGAGACACGGGGAGATTGGAAGAGACTCGGGGAGACTGGCAGATACACGGGGAGAGACACGGGGACACGCGGAGACTGGGAGAGACACGGGGAGACTGGCAGAGACACGGGGAGAGACACGGGGACTGTGACAAGAGGGGGGGGGGGGGCAGGGGGAGACATGGGGAGAGAGACAAGTGGGAAGACGACTGGGAGAGACACGGCGACTGACAAGATGGGAGACATTGGGGGGACTGGGGAGACACGAGGAGAGAGACAAGAGGGGAGACATTGGGAGGACTGTGGGAGAGAGACAAGAAGGGAGACATTGGGGGGACTGGGGGAGAGAGACAAGAGGGCAGGAGACATGAGGACACTGAGGGAGACACGGGGAGAGACACATTGGGGGGACTGGGGGATACACTCGTACAGGGACACGGGGACAGAGACAGGAAATTAATATAATCATGATTATAATCATTTCCTGTAATCACAGGACAGGTGACAATCGAGATGCAGGGGGACAAGAGGCAGGCAAGGCGGTGGGTGGTAGACGGACGAGGGGAGACAAGAGGATAGAGAGGACAGGGACACAGGGGGAGACGAGTGATGTGGTGGTGGGGTATAGGCAGACAAGGGAGGGACATGAGAGAAATAGGGTTACAGACAGGGTCGGTCGGTGACATGGGAGGGGATAGAAGGGGCCCCTCGGTGGCTAGGAGATGTTAACCACCTCGACTGGTATCCAGGGGTCGTGGGTTCGATTCCGACTCTGACACCTGCTGTATATTTGGAATTTGCGGTGTCTGGCTCTCCATCATCATCACGGTGGCTTTGAGATGTTAACTACCTCGCCTGGTATCCAGGAGGTCGTGGGTTCGATCCCGACCCAGACGCCTGCTGCTGTGAATGTGGAGTGTTTCGCGGCTCTCTCTCCCCATGGTCCCGTGGATTTTTCTCCGGGTCCTCCGGTTACCCCCCCCTCTCTCTCTCCACATTTAGAGTCAACATCACGGCGTGTTAATAGGCTGCTGTTATAAATTCCCACGTGATGACGATAAGCCGACTTCGTTGAGCCATCAGTTGCGATAGGCAGGTAAGCTTCTGGAAAAAAAGAGCTATTATATAGCTTAGTTGGGGCCGCCTTAGCTGGTAAAATACAAATAAAAATGTTTTAGTTTATACCGCGGAATTAGGTAGGTTGGGAGATATTTATGAACCATTCCTCCGGTATAATTACATATTCTGAGAAGAAGGGTGTCCCTTGTTAAAACTCGCACGCCAGCAACCTCTGAATTTTGCAAGTCCAGTGTGTACTATCACGGCGCAAGGCCACTGGGCATGTGTGTGGAAAATAGCTTAATAGCTCATCGGATTTCTCCAGTCTACACGCAGATTCTGATAAGTAAAACAAAAATATTCTTCTGAACGTGCATGCATAGATGTCAATCCATACGGTTTACCCCATATTCGCGCACAGGGAAATTGAGTTTTAAGATCTATACGGCGTACAGCCGTTTCAATACGGGCAAAAAAAATTATGTCAATTTGTTTGTGTTTCTCCCTTGTGATGAGACTCTGTAGGATTAACGTTGCTATTTATATAAGGGTTACGGGGTGACCAATAAGGTCTGAATTGGTCTCTAATACGGTAGTCAATGATAGGGTGTTGACGGCTATGAACACGCCAGTAACTTAAAATATATAGTTTTTATTACAATGAACCCAAGTGTATACAGTATATAGAATACGTTGAGTTATAGGCTCATGAAAGAATTCACCTGAACCTTTGAACTAAATGAGTTTCATGAAGGGGACCGACGAGCGGGATGGGGAAATATAAATAAAACGTGGGGACAGGATGGGGGGTGACACAGGGTTAGGGGGGTCAATCTCTGATAGTCTTGAGAAGTGGTGACCAAGGGGTTACGTTTCGGAAGATCGAGGGGGGGTGGTAGGAGGCCATGGGGACAGAATTACAGGGGGAGGAATCAGAATATGTAATTATACTGGAGGAATCCGATGAGCTATGAAGCTGGTTTCTTTTTTTTAATTCCCGCAAATGAATAGGGATGGGTGGACACGTTGACACAAGGGGAGATACGATGGGAGTCGGTGGGGAGACAACATGAGAGAGAGGTTGACATCGTGAGAGACAGGAAGATAAAGACTGTTAACGGGACATGGGTAGACAGACACGTGGTTAGGGGTGGGATTGAGAGACAGAGAGAGAGAGATCATGAGTCGAGGGATAAGACAGAATAGGTGGGAGACATTGGGACACGCAGAAAGACGAGTGAGACAAGAGCCATGGGGGACATCTTTATTGTGTTATGGGGAGATGATTGGAGCTTAAAGAGTAACAAGAGGTGGTGAGTGAGTTACGCGGGGAAACAGAGACACGGATAAGTGGTGGGGCGAACAACAGTGCGCAGAAACACTGGGAGACGCGGGGACAGGTTGAGAGACATAACGGGGGACAGCACAGCGAGACACGGAGAGACACGGGGTGGGGGGGGGTGTACAAGAGGAGACAAGAGTTGGACAGACAGGGCGGTTAACAGGGATTTGAGTAGCACACGTGGACATCGTGACTTGAGATAGGGAGACAGCGAGACGCGGACAAGGTGGGACGGGGGACAGGTGAGAGACGTGAAGGGGAGAACGGCGTAGGAGCACAGTGAGACACGGAGAGAGACGTGTGGGACAAGGGCGCATCGGGGACACGGTGGGGAGGGTGGGACAAGAGGAGACGGGAGTGGGACAGACAGGGTGAGGAGAGGGGGCGGGACACGCACACACGTGGACAGCGTGACTTGGGGTAAGGAGACGGCGAGACGCGGACAAGACACACGGGGATAGGGACATGGACGGAACAATCTTATGGATACAGTGGCATGGTGATTGGGACATTTGGTGCGGCGTGTCTTCTTTGTCTCGAGTGGAAACCCGAGGGGGGCTGAAATCAGTGATTGTGAGAGGGGGGGCGGCAGACGTGGACACACGGCAGACACAAATCCGTTCCGTCTGCATCTCTTTAAGTCTGCTCCGACTCTTGATTGTTGTGAGTGCGCGCGTGTTTGTATGTCGTCCGTGTGCTTCGTAAGTCTTTGTGTCCATCGCGGTCGATCTGCCCTGTGCGTGTTTGTGTTTATTTTCTCGCTGTGTGTGTATCTGTGTTGTGTTTCCGCGTGCGTGGTGGTGTCTGTGTCTGCATGGTTATGTCGCTTCACCCTGTTATGTCTCTGAGACTTGTTTTTCTTTCAGTGTGCTTCTCGTTTTGTGTCTGTCAGTAGGGTTTGCGTCTTTCGTTCGTGAGTGTGCGTGTATCAAAAGTTTGTTTGTGTGAATCTGTCTCCAGGCGTGTGCGTGCGTGTGTGTTTAACAGTTCGTGGGGAGCGGTAGTGCAACGAACCCGGCCAACCGAGTTCGATTCCCGTTCACGGCTAACACCGGTGACGAGTATCTGAACCGGTTCCTGGGCCTCCCCTAGGTCGACTCAGCCTCATATGAGTACCTGATGCGGTGTGTAGTAAACATCGCCACCGGGGAGACAAAGGCGGCTCGGGCGTGGTTGCTGGCCACCCACCCCCCTCGTATGCCGTGTCGGCCTTCGTAGGTGCTCCTCCCTAACAGCACTTGCCCCTAAACAGTCTGTTAAGGCTATACCCAAGAAAAAACCTGTTATGAATCTTTGTGTGTGTCTACGTTTGTGTATGAATCTGCGATTATAGCCACGCGCACGCACTGATCATATCAATGAAATCAACGACTCTTTAATCATCAATTGCCTAATGCAGCATCGTCACTTTTAAGCCTGCAGGGGGCTCATTGATGGAAGGGGGGGGGGGGGGTGAACGCGTGATGATTGTACTGTAAAGCACGTTTTCCGTACTGTAAAAAAAACCCAGTGTACAGCATGACACTGTACACTGTAAGGGGGGGAGGGGGTGGGGAAGGGGTGGGGAGGGATACAGTGCGAGCCGATATCGGTTGCGGTCAGAGGTCGCGTTGCGCCTTGAGCCGGCAGTGAT